GTGAAGGAAATTTTCTGAGGTCGGTTATAGTGACAAGCTAAGAGAAGGCTATTATATTCCTTGCTGCCTTCATATAATCTTCAGAAAAAAGTAAATAGCTAGGGAATATAATGAAATAATGGTGGGATTGGTCTTGAAGGGGGGGGGGAACTGTGGAGACGGTGATGTGAATAGATAAAGAAGGCTGATTAGTTGTGTTTTGTCACATATATGGAAGGATTAGTAATGGTTTTCCCCCTCAAGAAATTAAAGAGAGAAATTAGGCGGATTAATGTGTATATGTGTGTGTGTGAGGTCATATAGACCTGCACTTGAAGAAACTAAAGATTCATGAGATCTAATATTGTCGAAACATTATTGGAGTCATATTTTGTTAGCTAACTTATAAAAGTAATTAGTTGGTTAATAACCGTGTTAGTTACTATATCCTAAATCTACATAGGTATTAAATTTGGGTTTGAGAAAGAGAAAAGTAAGGCAGCAGTACGGAGGCAGGGGGAGATTTAATTAAGAAGCCAGCAGTAGTAATATTAGTGGTGTGTTTTCTGCATTATCGTGTTCTAGACTTTTCAATATTTGTTTTTGCCTTTTTCTTTAATTAAATGAAAAAAGTAACATCACTAAGAAGTTGGAACTTCCCAGCTGATGTTTCTGTCGCAGAAAGTGGATCGATCATGCATTTAGTGGCTATCAACATCTCAACCAAAAACATGACAATTTTTGCCATTTGCAGAAAAGGAAAAGGATCAATTCCTTTCGCAAGATCGAATCGTACTCTTAATTATTCTTATTTTATATCACATGCATAGATATGGTGAGGACGATTCTATCTATAATTTCCTCTCTTAATTGACCTTTGGCGTGCTGCAAATATAATTGCAATGCAAACTGGAGTCAAGATATGAGATAGAATTTGAGATTTAATTAACATTTAAAATGAATGGTGAACATTTACTGGGAAGTTGGAACTATTCATCCTATCATTTCACCAGTGACTGAGTTAAAAAAAGGGTTATGGTGAGATTTATTGAGTGGCGAGTTCCCAAGTCAAAATACTTTTGTTTAAGCCTTTTTGGGTGGGGGACCTCTTTGAAATTCGCAAATGCTAGCTATTTGGTATCATTGTGTCAACTGCCAAGCTGTTAGCGAACCCAGCTAAATAAATAATCGGACAAATCAAAGTTAAGATCGCGAAAAAAAGTTGAAAGTCATAGTTTTGGTCATGATAAAGGATCCTACACTTGCTATATTTTTCAGAAGAATTACTATAAAGTTCTAAAGAAAAGGCATTAAAAGTCCAAAAATAACTGAATCGCATGTAATGATAAATTATAGTATAAGAAATGATGAAAGGTTCATACCACTTATTTGTTATTAAGATTTTTCAGTAATTAAATTCATTTCTTGAGATGGCATAGTAATTCTATCTAGACTTTTTCATCAGTGATTGGCCTAGAATTAATACACACATATATGATGCTCAACTTTTTCAAATAGTGGAGTTACTGTGGTTGGATTCCAAGTGAGGAACTCAATTCTGTGTGTTGACTTAAACAGTATCTTCTCCAAAGAAGTCAAGCAAGCGTATATGAAATAAAGGAATCGCTAATCATTGTACTTAAATTATCAGCCAAATCCCATCAGAGAAGGACTCAGGAGTATGGCCTACCAAATGGACAGATCAACAGCTTGAAGAGAAAGCAAAGCAAACAGTGAATTGATTTGTTGACACAGATGCTTCACGGATTTTTATTGCAAAAATAACAAAAAAATGTTCGGAAAAGTAAGAACCCAATGGCCTTCAGAGTCATTCAAATGGCAGATTTGATCTGATGGAGAAATCAATTCTTATATTTGAAGGCGTCTAAGAGCTCTGAATCTCACATTGTTTACTCAGTCTTACTTGCTGGTTTACGCTATTATGTCTCCTAAATATGCATACTCTAATGGCTAGCCCCAGCTTTCAAAACTAGACCAATCCCAGATTTTAAAATGATGTCACAGTGAGATTATGGGCAACTAAATTGTTGTTCGGAAAAGTTTATTTGGAAGATTCGGCACACACATATATATATATTTATATATAGCAGGATAGACGTGACTTTGGAAGATGATCACAACAGAGCTCAAACACTGTTTACGATCTTATGAGATAGTGTGCGCGTTGGGACTTGGGAGAAGGTAATCCACAGTTAGTCCCTAAACGTCACAAAGATGGTTCTCGGTTGAAACATATTATCTCCAGTTGTAATTATAAAATCTAATTTGTAGGGTTATTTGTATAATTATATTGCAGGATAGATTTTGTATTTAAAATCAGAAATAGTATTATCCTCTCACCTAACTCTGTTCAAAATGTTAGGCTTTTGAGGATTTTAATTTGGGAAAATTGGGAGAAGTTCTCGTGAATTTTTTTACCGGGAGATCAAATCAAAGTAGTAACATTCTATATGTACAAAATTTTTAAAGTGCTATTATTTTCTGCATATAAAAATTTATCAGGTTTTTTTCACTCATTAACAAGAGACTTTTTGCCACGTAATTTTTCTTTTAATTTGGTTCTCGACATAAAACGCCATCCTAGCTACTCTGCATTAGATAAGTCCGGAAAAATAATAAATAAGGACCACATGAAGCTGACAATTACAATTCAAGCTCTCAAAATAGTAAACTTCATCTAAAAATAATAATAAATTTCAATTTAGGACAATGATCTCACCTGTAAATTAAAAAAAAATTCTTTTGCCAAAAATATGCTAGAAACCTGTTAGTCGGCCATTGGTGATTAAATGGGTGTTTGGTTAAATTTAAAAGCACTTTTAGAAAGTTCTTTTAAATGGAGACAAAAAAAATTTTATATACTTATTTCTTGTTTTAAAAAAATTACTTTTAAAGCTACAGTTTGATTTCTATCTAATCATTTTAAAAATGACAAATTCCAATCCTGCGATCCCCCTCCGCCACATTTTGTCCCTCTGTGAGTCCCATTTGTTCCCCATCGATGGGGTTAAGCCCTTGGGCCTTGTTTTAATCCTAAGGATTGGGCCTTGTTTTGATCCAAGGATTGGGCCTCTCCTCCCCTTGTTGGGCTCTTCTTTTTCAATTTCGGCCTTATAGAGCTCAGCTAGCTTTTGTTCCCGGAGCCTTGAACATTAAAGATGACCCATCAACCCTTGCAGCCCTTCTTTCCCTTTTAGGATTTCTGGGTGCGTTTGGATCAAATGATTCTTATTGTAACGAATTTCTATAGAGTGAAGTGAGGATAAAAATTAATTAGTGCAATACTATACTATCTTCGGTCTTAATTATAAGAACTAGTTAATTAATTTGAGGAGGTTAAGAAAAAAAGTTAAGTTAGTTATTCGTAATAAATATGTATTGTCTTTTTTAAAATATCCTTACTAATCAAGTATATTAGTTAGAGCTATCATTGTTAGAAGGACTATCTTAAAAAAAATAGATATATAAGAGATAAAATGGATTGGGATCTTATATTTAAGACCAAAATAAAAATCAAACAATGTCTTATATTAAGGACAGGAGGTAGTACATTTTTTGGATAGGCGTTTATTGAAAACAGTCAGTTTGACAAAAATCTTATATAGATGATATCAATTTTAAAAGTTTCTTTTGTTTTTTTTTTTTGCCAAATTAAAAGTTTCAAATCAAAGGAAAAGCTAAAAGGCAAAAATTAGAAGTTAGAAAAAATAGTTTCAATTTTAAGGTGATTTTTAGACAAAAAAATTAACTGTCTTCAAAGTCATACCAAACACTAGTTTTCTTTCATCCAACAAATTTTTTTTAGCGTCCCAATTGAATTTTAAGACTTGTTAACATGATGCCTAACAAGTAACAAGCCCTCTAGTTTTTCATTAAACGTTGAAATAAAGTCGCAATTTTTTTTTCTTTTTTTTCTTTTGGCCTGGAGAAAATGATTATATTTGTAACCTTGTTTTTTTCGTTTGCGTACATTGAATACGTTCCAGCTGTAACTTGGAAGCAAACATTCAAAGTGTCAAACACTGACCAGTCCAAGTTCTTCGGTGTCAAACGTTTGATTCTCTGCTTCTTAATATACAACATAATTATTTTATTAATTTTGATTCTAAATATAAAACTTATTTTTTATATTTATTAATTTTTTCTAAATTATTTATATAGATACTCTCTCAACCATAATTAAATAGAAGAGGAAGAGAGGATACCAAGGAAGATGATTATGGTGTTTTAGAAAAAAAAAACATCATATTTCTTATAATTAACCAACTTACCTAATTTCTTTAATCTAATCAAATTAGTTAAATATGTTTTATATTAAGAATCGGATGAATATCATATTACTAAGAGTTACATGCATGGCAAAGAAATACTAGGAGTTATACACTACTTTGGTTGTAAATATAAGACATATTTTGTAGTGTATTTTACATTACAAAACAGATTTTATATTTAGAACAGGAGGAGTAATAATTAAGGTTGATTGGCCAAAAAAAATGATACTCATCTGGTCCTATTTATAAGGCACTTTTAACATATTTCACACAGATTAAGAAAAATCTTAAACTACATTAACTCTTTATTAAAATATAACAAGTTTTCAACTTTATCTTTATTTAATATATACTCTTTTAAAAAAAAACTATCTATACTATAATAAATAAAGAATATTATGATACATTCACAATAAAAATTTAATAGGATTAAAAAAAATTCCATCTACTTTATAAATAAAAGCAGAGAAGTATTAAGGTTGATCTGACGAGGCAGAGTCAGTTATTTGTATTGTAATTGTATGTGTTCGCATTGCTTGCTGCGTCCGTTCGAGACTGACCTGTTCATAACGAGCGGCTTAGCTTCACAGTCAACTCTGCCGAGTTATGGAAGGTGGACCAGTCATCAAGTCAAGAAACGAAAAGAAGAAAAAGATAATTTATCGTAACTAAGCCCATCGATCACTGTTTGGGTCTTCTCGTTTTGATGAAGGGGATCTAACTGCAAGTTTACAACCCCATCATTTGCTTTGCTTTTGTTGTTCTCTATTTCTGCTCGTCCTACTTTGCCGGGAAAATACCCGCCTTTTCCCCGAAAATTCATCCAGAAATCCTTCACTCGAATTTCAGGTCAGCTTCTCCATTTCTCTTTGCCTGGTTTGTGAGAAAATGAGCTGTAGAATTATATATATTTCATTTATTTGAGTTTGGCAACACTCGATATCTTGAGGGCGAATTTATTTTCCGGCTTCTTCCCCTGCATTTTAAGCTGCAACCAATTAGATTATTAATATAACCGTTTTCAGTATACCAGCCATAATTGAAATGAGCATTAATTTCTTTCTAACGTGTTTTGTTGTTAGAGGACTGTCAAGTTGTTTGAACTGTGAAAATTTTGATATCTTTGAAACATCATGGAATTATAAACCCAAGCTTTAGTCCGATTCATTTTATCGGATAAGAAAAATTGATTGAGACTTTTTTATTCTACCAGTGTTTAGGTCAGGTTTCTAATGTTTCATGCTTGACGAGAAAATGACTAATGGGAAAATGAATATTGAGCAAAGCTGAACTTCATGGTTTAGCTAAACTATATCAGTGATGAGATGGCGGACGATTCAATTGATCACGCCTCACTCATTCCAGCATCTGAATTACTTTTTCATACTGTCCTTAGTATATCTGATGTCACCAGAACAGCCAATCAGATTCTGATTCAGAAGGATAATTTCAGAAAACTCTCAACTTACCTGGAGAAAGTCTCATTAATATTAAAAGGACTATCAAAAGAAGACATACACCATGCAGAAAGCTTGAAAAATTCCCTGGGTGTCCTGAACCAAGAAGTTAAAGTTGCTAGACAGCTGGTTTCTGAGTGCAACTGCAAGAGTAAGATTTATCTTTTGATCAGTTGCAGAAAGATTGCTGAGAATTTGGAGTGTTGTACGAAAAACATAAGCCGAGCAGTGAGCCTCATCCCCCTCACCTCTTTGGATGTTTCTTCTGGTCTAAGTAAACAAATAAGTGAGCTATGCCAGAACATGTTAGATGATGAGTACAGAGTAACTGCAGCAGAAGAGGAAATTCTGGAGAAACTTGAGTTAGCAATACAAGAAGGAAATGCTGAGCGATCTCATGCAAATCAGTTGCTAGCTCGTATTGTGGATGTCATTGGGATCTCAACTGAGCATGCTGTTATAAAGAGAGAATTTAAAGAGTTGAAAGGTGACATGCAAATTGCCGCGTCCAGAAGAGATATAGCAGAAGCTCTCCATATGGAGCAGATTGTTGGATTGCTTGAAAAAGCTGATTCCGTTACTTCATCACAAGATAAGGAGAAGAGGTATTTTGAAAAGCGAAACTCCCTGGGACGACAACTGTTGGAGCCGTTGCATTCGTTTTACTGTCCAATCTCACTTGATATCATGGAAGATCCTGTGGAGACTTCTTCCGGCAAGACATTTGAGAGAAAGGCAATAGAGAAGTGGCTTGCAGAAGGGAACAACAACTGTCCCTTAACCATGTTGCCTCTGGATGCTTCAAAATTAAGACCTAATAAGACTCTTCGACAGTCAATTCAAGAATGGAAAGATAGGAACACCATTATTACCCTTTCGGCTCTTAAGTCCAAACTTGAGAGTGATGATGAAGAGGAAATGCTTAAATCCTTGGAAAAATTGCAGGGCCTCTGCTTGGAAAGACAGATGCACCGGGAATGGGTAAAAATGGAGAATTACATCACAACTCTGATCAAGCTCCTCGGTGCTAAGAATAGAGAAATAAGAAAGCGTGTTCTCTCCATCCTGTCTTTGCTTGCAAAGGACAACGAAGAGAATAAGGTATAATATTTTCAAACTATTGTTAATTATAAACAGTGAACTTTATTTTGTGAGGCTTCATGTGAATAGCAATGCTTCTCTTGTGCAGGAAGATATTGCTAAAGTTGATAATGCACTAGAATCAATTGTTCGCTCACTTGCACGTCAAATAGAGGAAAGCAAGCTAGCAGTGGAGTTGCTCTTAGAATTGTCTAGAAGTACTGCAGTGCGTGATCTCATAGGTGATGTTCAAGGAAGCATGCTCCTCCTGGTAAGAATGTTAAGCAGTGATGATGTTGAAGCAGACCACAATGCAAGTGAGCTTCTGGATAACCTCTCTTTCCTTAACCAGAATGTTATAGAGATGGCGAAAGCAAATTACCTCAAGCCTTTGCTGCGGAACCTTTCTTCAGGTATTGCATAAATTCCACACTCGCCATTTGCCATATTGATGCAAAAACCATTTCTTTTTCCTTGAAAAAAAAAATGAAGAATTGGCTTGCTACTAGACCCTCATTGATTGTCAATGCTCATATCCTTGATGCAGGAACAGAAAATGTGAAGATAATCATGGCCAAAACTTTATCAGAGATTGAATTGACTGACCAGAATAAAATATCAATAGTCAGAGATGGGGCACTGCAGCCACTTCTTCAGTTGCTCTCTAATTCTGATGTGAAAATCAAGGAAATAGCTGTGAAAGCTCTTCTGCAGTTTTCAAGCTTGCCAGAAAATGGGCTACATATGATTAGGGAGGGTGTTGCTCAATCACTATTTGAGCTGCTATATCGTCACAGTTTACAGTCACCGACTCTGCGGGAACAGGCGGCTGCCACTATGATGCATCTTGCTATGTCAACTACTCATCAACGAGCTGATGAAGTTCAGGTTTCATTGTTAGATTCTGAGGATGACGTATTTAAATTCTTCTCACTTGTTTCCTTCACAGGACCTGATATACAAAGCAAGATTCTGAAAACTTTCATGGCAATGTGCCAATCTCCCTCTGGTCTCACCATCAGAGAAAGGTTAAGACAGGTTGGCATTTTTCCTGAAGTCATGATTTGGGTACATTATGATTGTGGTGAAAAATCTTTGACTATAATAATAATAATAATAATAATAATAATAATAATAATAATCATTGTGGAATATTTTGTTGCTTTGCTTACAACCACTTGTTGTCGTGGTATATGAAGCATATGATCATGGCTATTTAGAACTAAAAGAAGCAACAGGATCAAAAAGATGAAAAAGTAAGGGACTAGGAACGGAAGTAAAATGTCATATGAGGTGTGAGAACAGATTCTCTCCAGACTTAAATCACAAAAGTGGCCGCTCCTTATGTGGTCACGCAGAGAGAAAAGGGAGGATGAATATAAAGAGGAAAGTGGGTTCCATACCTCTTCATACTCTTTTTATCATTCTTACTCCTGATATGTCACTGCATGACTATAGAAGATCCAAGTTGAAGAGAAATAGAGATAGAAACAATAAAGGGAAAATTTGTTGCCACTGTTGGCCTTTACAAAGTTTAAGATAAGGCACACTGTTCATAACTTATGAATAATGAAGCTTTTTCTGTAAGTTTTATGTTACATATAGATTAAAGTGATTATGTCTTGAAATCACTGAAAATAAGTTTTATGGTTGTTGTTGATGAAGCTCTCAGCTGTCCAAGTATTAGTTCACTTGTTAGAGCTCGATAACCAAACTGTGCGGGCAAATGCCATGAAGCTGTTCTATTACTTAACAGAAGGCGGTGATTGCAGAAACTTTACATCACATGTAACTGCAAGGTGTATTAATGTCTTGCTCACCATCATCAGGACTACCGATGATGCAGAAGAGATTGTTTCTGCTATGGGTATCATCTCAAGACTCCCAAAGGAACCCCATATAAACCAGTGGCTTTTAGATTCTGGCGCAGTTAAAATTATCTTGGATTGTCTCTTGGATCAACATAAACATGCCTCGCACAAACGGCAACTCATTGAGAACTCTGTTCAAGCTCTTTGCCGTTTTACTGTCTCAACAAACGTAGAGTGGCAGAAGACAATAGCTCAAGAGGGCATCATCCCTATCCTGGTGCAATTGCTGGATTCCGGGACATCTCTGTCGAAACAACATGCAGCCATTTCAATCAAGCAGTTTTCAGAAAGCTCACGACTCTTAAGCAAGCCTATAAAAAAGCCAGGTATATTCAAATTCTGCTTCGTAGCTTATGAAACCGGTTGCCCAGCACACCAGGGCGCCTGTACAGTTGAGTCTTCATTCTGTATGATAGAGGCTGATGCTTTGAAGCCCCTTGTGAGGATGCTTGAAGAGCAAGATATTGGAACATGCGAAGCTTCCTTAGATGCACTTTTGACTTTGATTCATGGGGAAGCACCACCGGGTGGGTGTAAGGTACTTGCAGAGGCAAATGCTATTACTCCGCTGTTAAATTTATTGAGTCTTCAGTCTGCCAGATTGGTGGAAAAAATTCTAGTAGCTTTAGAGAAAATATTTCTAGTCGATGAAATAAAGATTAAATATAAAGCTTTAGCCACGATGCCATTGGTAGAGGTAACCCAGAGGAAAGATAGTCGCTTGAGAAGTCTTGCTGCCAGAGTCCTTGCACAATTGGGTGTACTTGAGAAACAGTCTTCTTATTTTTAATAAATATCATTCAAAACCCCACTTGCTTATTCATTTTTTATACCTTAGTATTTCTTAATAAGTGGTTGCTCTGTATTTCAAGGCAAAAAGTAGGATATAGAGATAAGAAAGCTTTACATAATTATTGTCTTCCGTGTTTAATGTGTAGCTGTTTGGCTTTTCGTCTTTCAAACCAGCAAAGTTCACATTATTCTGAAAATATTGTTTCTTGTGGAATGGAGTAAATGCTTCTCACTACGGCGGCAAAATTAGTGCACTTTGATTGCTTTCTTACTTCACAGATTATCGGTCTTATTTATTAACATCACAAAGAAACAAAACTAGCAATTCAGAGTAATACGCGGAGTTATACGTATCCAGTTTTAAGAATTTAGAGCAATCTGACTATTAAAAATGCTAGAGACTTATTATATGGTTTCAAAGAAAACAATAAAGTATTAGATTTGTAAAGAATTAAAATTTCACATGACTTACTGAAATTTACCGATTTTTCCAAGGAAATGACGTTTATAGAAAATAGGATAGGAAAATAGAACAAACATGAAGAGAAGATAGTACTTAGCTTGCATATCCAAGGACCAAAGTGGCGGGCGAGGGATGAAAAGAGCGAAGAATGGTGTTTCGCGTCGCCTAGCGTTGTCCCTGTCAACCCGCCGTGGTGGAGACGCAACTTGTTTTGGTTGGTCTAAAACGACTAATAGGCATAATATAAACATATATATATACGTGCCCAGACTTCAAAGTGGTCACTCTGATCCAAATTATTGGTTGCCTTGAAATAACAACACTCCAATGGCGGATTTTGGAGGCGATGGTTCTGCCTCCTTCAGATGCAGAAACTGCCAAACGCCCATTGCATCACGCAGCGACCTTCTCTCTAAAAGCTTTCGGGTATTTATTCCGCACAAAACTCTCTCCTCTTTATTTAACTCTCTTGAGTTTTGACAACTATTGAGCAGCCATGGGCTCTGATCTTCGCTACTTGGAAGTAGTTCTCCCCCCCCCCCCCGGGGGGGGTTTGGGATTGTGGATCTTGGTTTCACTAATCTTTTTGTTCTTCATATTGAAATCTGCTTTCTCTTCATCGATACACAAATAAAAGTTTTTGAAACCAGAACATATTCAGTGGCGTATTTTATTTGAAATATAAAGCGGCCCCCTAGCCTAATTTATTTTAGATTTTAGCCACTGACAAATATTTTAGACCATGCAGTTATTATATTATGTTTTTATAAAAAGTCATTTTACTTATAAAAATTTCGTTGTGAATAAATAAAATTAAAATATAGGCATTTTTTCTCATATTGCGGTGTGTGGGACTGTGGGGTGGTTGGACTGTGTTTGATTTGGAATTTTCTATAAAGCCATAAGAATTTGAGGGGTACAGAAGTCAACAAAGACCAATCCTGCACGCCAAGTAGTATTATCAGATAGTATGAGACAGCATGGAGGCTTATGCAATGCAACGTTGCCTTGTGGAGCTTAAACACAACACCCAATGCAATATAATTAAATGTGTGTGATGTGACATGTAAATTAAAAGACCCTAACCCTTAATTACGCGTGATGAAAATAGGAAGCCAAGAAATACTGTTCTATCTCATATATAATACTCCTCCAGTCCTTAATATAGGATCTAATTCTTGAGTTGGTTTTAGTCCTAAATATAAGACTCATTCCTCATATTTATCAATTTTCTCTAAATTACCCTTATAGATACTTTCTCAACCATAATCAAGTAGAAGAGGGAGAGGGGGTATTAAGAAAGATTATTATGGTATTTTAGGAAAAATGTGTCACTTTTCTTATAATTAACTAATTTACCTAACTTTTTTAATCTAATCAAATTAGTTAAATGGGTCTTATATTTAGAACCGGAGGAGTAATACTTTTCTGATTCTAAATATAAAATATATTTTTTATACTATAAAACAAATCTTATATTTAGGGTCAGAAGAATAATGAAGTTGGGATGATTGACTGCTTTAATACTATAATTTTTTGCCCGGGTGTAATACTATATTTAATTTAACACCAATGTGGGGTATGGGGGAATGAATGAAGGCCAAAACAGGAGCAGCATTCATGTTCAGGCATGCTAGGAACATCATTGAAGGAGCCAAACAAGACAGACAACTCATGACCGGAATGTACACTGTGGCCAACATATATTGCTCCAATTGCGGTCAGGAATTAGGTTGGAAATATATCAGAGCCTATGAGCCTCCCCAGAAATACAAGGAAGGCAGGTTCATCATCGAGAAGGCTAAAATCCTCAAGCAATACTAATAATGTAATATATCCCCCTCTGTTGTGTCAACGGTGGATACTCCTAATCCTATGTTCCAATAATAATTATCATCTCTACAATATAAAACCATATCTTATGTTTAAAACGAAACCGTGTGATAATATGTTTTAAAAATAGACACCAATGATTAAATAATGTAGTAATATCTTCAATCCTATTTATAAGACTCTGTTTATACAAACGACATAAACAAAATCTTATAAATAGGACTGAAGATAGTATATTTGGTGAAAGTTGCCTCTTTATTCGCGTGATGCGTGGCATCATTATCACTGCACGCTCCTTTGCCTCTCAATAAATATATGGCAGCCGCGCGCGCATACGTAGATGCGGGTGTATATTGTCTTCCATTTTTATGTGTGATGTTCAATTATCGCCATGTATCCGTACACACGTGTCACGTGCCCACATGCGCCAGGCACTTTGTACGCACGTTGCAATGAAAAATCAGAGGGTGCGATTTAATTTTTATAGTTATGGCTTGATTATAATTCAATTGTTAAACTTTGAACTCAGATGCAATCTAATTCCTGTAACTTGAATATTTAAGATATTGATCCTTGTGTTTTAGAAAATAAAATCATATGTTTCATTAAATTTGGGCATTGAAGTTTTAAATGGCTAAAACTATACAAGTTTAGTTGTGGTGAATTAAAATTTAGATAAAATTAAAAATAGTTTGAAAATTAAGTTTTAATTGAATGAAAAATATCAAAACTGAATCGTAGACGGTTTAAGTTCAAGAATTAAGTTGCAATTAAGTATTGGAAGGAAAAAAAAAATTTCCAACATCAAAAGCGGATGCTCTGAAAAATCACAACGGGAAAAGTTAATTACGGGAGAAAGGAGCTGGTCATAATACATTCTAGATTATAATTTCCTATACTATCTCTTGAAATAATCTTTAATGTCATGAACGTGACGAACCAGTCAATTAATACAGGTATTAAATAGAACTCTTGAAGCCACACTCTTATCTTATCAAAGGGAGAGGGTTCAATTTCTAAGATCGTCACGGTACTTGGAGAGACATATTCACAGCTAAGTAAAGTAGGAGTAGTGTCAGGGTCAGGATTAACGGGTGCATGCACATTTCTATTGAGACCAGTCATTGTGAATCATGAGTTAGTTTTCTTGCTTTTAGCTTGTGGGTGAATCTAATCTCTTATCTGAAATTTAGTCTATAAAAAAAAAAACGTAAGAGTTAATTACTATCCTTTCTAGCATGACAAGAAAGTTTAATTTAGCCAAAATTCATAATTTGTTTGAAGTGACCATTAGATTATAAAAGATGAATTTAACTACATTTAAACCCTAAAACAATCTCTAGCTGTAAACTGTAAAAGAGTATATGAAAAGTAGTAGTGTAAGACACTACTTTGTCTTTGTTTTGGCTAAATGCTCGTGCAAGTGCTCTTCCATCCCTTTTGGAGGAGCAGACATTTTGTGCAACCCTATTGGCAACCTCATGCTTTGCCAAGCAAACCAATCCGTTTGTCAAATTTGTCAAATTTATAAGAGTAACATTGTTTTAAATTTATGGAAAATATTCATAAAATAAAATCTAACCCCTTGAGAATTAAAAATCGCATACCATATAGGAAAAGCCGAACAAGAAAACAAAATTGCATCGTAAGGCTTTTGGCTAGTGGGTGTTGAAAATTGGCTCCCCACCCATTTATTCAAGCTATGGACTTTGAAATTTTGACCCTTGACTGAAGTTATATTTGATATTATCTCTAATCCGAATTATAAGATCTCATTTATAAATGAGAAATTATAATTAGAACATGAGGTAGTATATACTTTTTAATATAAGAGCTGATAAGGATGTTATATAAATCTACAGATTTTAATTTGTATTAATATTAATGTCCATTACACCTTTATTTTTATTAACCAGTATTTATCTTTTCTACTATTTTCTAATGAAGAGCATGATGCTTATTTTTATACATTATATATAATTATGCACATAGCATTCTATGTAGTAAATATGACCTAAAAAGGCTTAACCAAGATGTTATTGTTTCTTCGTTCCCATAATCACACCTGTTAATCTATGGGCCACCAACCCATTGAAATTCAACAAAAAATTGAGTACCTTTGAGTGAAAATTTGGATGTGGGTCCCTGTGAAGTCCATAACTTAATTCCCTATTAGCTCGAGTTTATTCCTCGAGGGGGGGGGGGAATCGGTTAGGCAAACTTTCAATTTACCTTCCGACTCAGATTTTCTTAAAATGAATTGACTCAATAAAACAACCTGTTTTGATATAAGCATTTAACTTTTGTTTTTTGAATTTTATAGTGGCATAGATAATGTTTTTATTTCCCATACATATCTTTATTTTTAACGTTTTATTAAATCTCGTATATGATCCGAGAGTGATACATCAATCAATAACCATTTCAAGTAAAAAATCATTTTGATTGATTTTGGACAAACTTAGAGCGGAGGAAAAATTCAGCTCAAAAAAGAGTGGAACAAAAATAATGCTGAAGAATTAGTTAAATTAAATTACTATTGATAAAATTAAATTATTATTCAATTCGTCTCTCTTTCGGGGGATCTGGCGCAGCCGCTGCGTCTGCGGTGCATGACCTTTTCGCGAAGACCCCTTTCTGAGCGTTTCCGTAACGTATTTTCCTTTTCGCGCGTTCCTAACGCCCTGGTTCAGGCGCGTGTTGTTCCCTCCCCAATCTAACCAACTCAATAATAATACCAGTAAAATAATAGTAACAAAAATAATAATTATAATAATAAAATAAAAACTACACACAGTCTCTGTCTCTGTCTCTCTCTCTCTCTCTCTAAATTATTTGATAGCAGTTCTCATCACCATTCCTCCATGGAACAGAGCCCTGACTCAGTCTCAGACTTGCCAGGTCAGTGAGCCTTGAGAGCTAGTAGGAACTCGCCCCTCTATTTCTTCTTCCTCCTCCTCTCTTATACTAGCGAATCTTCTTCAGTAGTGCTTCTGATGCTTCTGATTATCATTGGGTCAAATAATCAAAGCAGAATTTCTCGATTCATTCTTCAATGAAGTCATGGCGACTTATCCCGATTTGCAGTTAATTTACCTATGTTTTACTTTGAACCACCAAACCAAGTAGGGTATTTTTTGTTTATTATCTTTCAACAGCTTAGATCCCATTAACTTGCAACTTGCATTCGTCAACGGTGCCGCTCTCTCTCTCTTCTCTTTCTTGATCTTTCTCGGTTTTTTTGGCTACAGGATTCTAATCCAAATAGTTTCTTTTTATTTTTAAATTTTCTCGAAGTGGCTGTTATTTTATTCGATCATTTTTGTTTTCATCTAGGGACAGCGGTCGTGTTGTTTACACTTGTAGCGGCCGTGTCTTTATCTGAGCCATGTGTATACCTTTTCTATTTAAAACTCCTAACATCTTAAATGGGAATCTGTACTCAACTTTGTGATCGTCTTTAGCCTAATCTTGCACGCTAACTCCCTTTTCTCTTCCTATCTTGCTGTTGCAGAATTTTGGGTCATCATTGAGCTTGTTGGGGGTAAAGAATTTATTATTTTCCCTTGCTTGGTTTACGTTCTGGTCAATTATTCTAATTTATAATCCATACCGTGTATCTGATCAACGGTTGTTCTCTTAAATAACCGTGATTTTGATATTTTGCGAGTTGTTTGATAGGAAACTGTTGAGAGTTAATGGCGGAACAGATCGGTCCAAGGTTGTACAGCTGTTGTAATTGTAGAAACCAAGTTTCACTCCACGACGATATAATTTCCAAGGCTTTTCAGGTGAGGCATCTTTTCCTTGTTTAGTCTGTCCTTTTTTTAATAGCTTTAAGCGAAGGATTTTACCCCCGGATGTGAATTTTCCTGATTTCTAATCAAATTGTTACTTCATCTTGCATATCACATTTGCTGCTTCCTTCTTTTTGCTCTTGTTCTGGGTTTGTTTGCAGCTATCGCTTGTAACATATCACTTCTTGAATTTTCTTTTCCCCTTCGTTGCTCCTCAACTTCGTTGCTCCTCACCTCGGAGGCAACAAGTGGAAGATGTTGATATCTGTATGTAGAAGTTTTAGGTTAAAAAGTATATACGTAACATGTAATGCTGTAATAAGATAAGCATGATGTTCTTTCTTGTCAAACTTTATCAATAATTGAGTATGTCTCAGATTTCTCAGTAGTGTTTCCTTTATTTATGAATAACGATGTAATTTGCAAGAAAATAATTTTCTATCCCCTTGTCAAGCTTTTTCTTGTGATATTCATAGTTAAAAATGATCGATCACTTGTTGCTAAAACTTGAATTAAGAGTCAATAACAAGTAAAGCAAATGATAAATTAAACAATATGTGTAAGATCTGTTTTTCCCCTTCCATTGATAAATTACGAGGTTATTGGTATGTTTTTGAAACCAAGATGTTGATAAACGTCAAACGTATAATATTTTGTTCTCATTTCACTGAACTGACATTTCAATTCCAAAAAATTTGAAAATTGAACCAGGGCTGGGGGTGAAGCACCCCCCTGTGTCCGTCACTGCCCCAAATCCTCCCTTCCATCCTCCTCATAAGTAAAGAGGTATCAGAATTTGATGTGTTCGGAGTTACTTATGATCTACTGTTAGAAAAAGTAACGTGATAGGAATGGTTCTTGGTGATTTCAGGAATCAAGACTGGAAAAATGTTGTCGTTCTATGGAAATGATGTCAACCACAGAATCTGTGGTGTAGTTTGTCTAGAGCCCACTTCTGAACCTGAATATGGTTGATTTCTTAGAACCATTAAAAACTACAATAGTCTCAGACCAGATATTGAAGATTGCAAGAGTTTGGTTTTCATTTTCAGTCTTAGGATTCATATTGGGACTGTTCCTATATTTTTACCTAAATAGTACGATGCTAAAGAATTTGTTTCATAACGATAGAGTTACTGACTATCTGACTAATCAGTGTTCATGGAACCTATCATCTGATAGTCCAAGTTTGATGCAGTATGATTATATGCTTGGAAACGTAGATGAAAGTGCTGCTTAAGTTTTACTGAAATGGAATTAGAAATCCTGCATAGGTTGTGGTGAAAGTGATAGAGTAGTGACGGTGGTTGCGGTAAGTCTGCTTATGGATACTAGAGAAGTATAAGGTAGAAAGTGTTAGTGACTGTGGCGATCAATGACTGGTGGTATTGACAATCACGCACAGTTCCTCTTGCCGGACAGTTGGGGCTTTTCTGATGATGCTTGAAAAGTGGCAGTGACTGTTGATGTCTGGTGTCATTGAGAGTCACAATTGTTGTTGTTATATAGCTGTTATGATGATGACTTCTTTAGTGAGGGTGCTGTTTGCTGGAAACAGTGATACAGATGTGGTGGGTTGGCAGTGTTAAAAGGAGGATGAAATATTGTTGAGGAGAGTGGCTGATTTTCAGCCTTTACCTTGTTTATTAATGTTCTCAAGATACAAGCATTATACTATATAATTGACCAGCCCTTTCTTTGTTGTTGGTTATTACAATGGCCATTAGGTGTTGAAAATGAATGGTGCTTCAAATTTTCATGAAGATTGCAAAATATGTTTTCTTTGGATCATAAGGTGCTGCATGTTTCAAAATCGAAGCAATCCCAAGGAATTTCAATTTCCCCTGTCCTTTCTTACTGGGATTTGGGTTGATAAACTTAGTATTTAAACATGCGTTTTCATTTTTAAGCCTCTCAGAAACTTTCCCATATCATTGTCCAATATTCTTTTCTTTAATTTTAAAATTAGGGAAGAAATGGCAGAGCTTTTCTGTTCTCCCATGCAATGAATATTGTCGTAGGGCCAAAAGAAGACAGGCATCTCCTGACTGGACTGCACACAGTTGCTGATGTTTATTGTGGTGATTGCCGTGAAGTGTTGGGTTGGAAGTATGAAAGAGCTTATGAAGCATCGCAGAAGTACAAGGAAGGGAAGTTCATCCTTGAGAAGTCAAAAATCGTGAGGGAGAACTGGTAGTATATATAGCATTCCCTGATGCTCCTTAATCCATTCATTCCAGCCTTGGAAGTAGATTATTTCATGCTTCATGATGTCCGTCTTGTACAGGAATTTCTCACCCATTCTAAATCTGCCATTGTTTATCCAATTTCTTTTATTTTCTGGTGTTGTGACTAAAAGTTGTAAGATATGATGAATTTGTTCCCTGTTAATAAAATTGTGTATTTGCTAGCTTTATCTTCTTCTGTTCCTTGAAATATGTTGTCTGGCTTTAAAGAGTGATCGAACTCTCCAAGGATCATATGGTCCGAAAAGTCTAAAAGCCTCCCAATTATTGAATCAATTAATACTCCTCCGGTCCTAAATATAAGACCTTAAGACCAACGTATATTGGTTATTGTTGCCTTGCCAACTTCGGCAGGCTGGTTCTTACATGATGGTTACATGCCATTACAGATTACAACAGGCTACTTGCTCATTGCGACCCTCCAACCACCAATAGAGGAGTTCCTTATTCCTTGGGGGGCTATCATTATATTTTCTTCAGAGTGCGTTTAGCTTTATGTTGAAAATCGCCAGACCATAGTTATATAATGGTTTTCAACATAAAAGCCAAATACACGGGATTTTGTCTTTCCATTATTTTCATGTGCTATGTCCCCATGGCCTGCCTTTGTGGTTCTACCTCGTCAAATGAAACAAAGGGCAAATATTTTACAGTCAGCTGGAGCCGTAGTGGATGCTGCAAGGGCCATTTTTGCGCGGGCTCAATTTAAATAGGTACCGCACGATTTTTATTTGGAGAATTTATCATTTTAAAATTATAAATCTTTGTATTCTATGCTCTGCCTTATTTGTGTGGAGTTCATAAAGGACACTAATTTTGATTATAAACGTAGAAGTTAGACCATAGATTCATTTTGATCTTAAATATAACAACTCAATCTATTTTGCTCCCCAAATTTATAATTTTTGTTCACATTGTCCCTATTAATTGTATATATTAAAAAGGCTTCCAATCAAGGGACAATTTAATACATATGATTAAATAAGGCAGTTTAGAAAAAATCAAAACATATTTGTTATAAATAATTCAACTAATTTTTTTAATATCTGTAAATTAGTTATATAGTATTCATTTTACAGAAGCAAAATTCATGGCCTGAAGATGCAATGCCACTCGCCCACAAAGCCTTCATGCTTGCCTTCGGCCTTCAACATGGAATTAGGAGAGCATTTGCCATTTGGCACTGGCATCTTGAGAAAGTGATGCGTTCCTTTTTGACGGCCATAATTAGACACAACGCCTTTCCGTCTTTCTCAACGCACTCAAATATAATCCAAAGCCTCTGCCTTCCAATTTTGCAAAATTTATATTTTACAATCTTAAAATTACAGATATTTTATATTGAAATCTCAAACTTTATTTTTCTGTTCAGCACCGTTGAACAAACTCAGTTAAAATATTGAGTCTCTGGGCAATGGTTAGCAAACTAGGCCCGGCATTTTTCTTCTTTTTTGGGCCTTACAGCTTGAGAGCCACCCACACTGGGCCGTTACTTGTTATTCTTGTCTAAGTTATGCTGGGCCTGACCGATCCATAAAAGTAAGCCAAGAATACCTGTCTTGACGTCTTGGATTCATTATTCAATTTGAAAGAGCCATTGCAGACTCGTAACATTAATAAATAACAAATGATGATGAAGCCTTCTGTGCCGCGGGAGGTGAGGATGGAGTTACCTTTATACCCCATACGGGGGCCTGGGGTGGAAAAGGACAAGAATAGAAATATGCAACCCTATTGTAAACTACTACCTCTGGTCCTTAATATAAGACCCCGTTTGACTTTTTGTTTGGTCCTAATTATAAGACCCCAATCCATTTTGTTTTTTATGGGGTAGTATAATTAGTTGTAAATCACTTCTAGAAGGGGACCCAAAGCAGGCAGGGAACTCTACGATGTCTATGCATCTCTTGGTTTTCGATATGTCAACAAACAAAAATCTCGAAGCAAGTTCTGGGTTAGAAATCAACAATATTGACACCTGTAAATTCAATTCTATTTTAAAATGGTTAGTCCATGTATTTTAACAAGTTTCGCTTAGATTCTTCGAGAGTTTTTTTCCCCCGGCCATTCCTTTCAGTTTCGGCAGTGCTTCATTGTATTCTTGCCTTTCCGAGATACTCCTCCGGTCCTAATTATAAGACCCAATTGACTTATTTGAGGAGATTAAGGAAGTAAATTAAGTTGGTTATTTATAATAAATAAGTGTTGTTATTCCTAAAATATCCTTGCTAATTAAGTATATTGGCTAAAACTATCATTATTAGAAGGATTATCTTGGAAAAAAAAATGCATAAATATAAGAGAGAAAATGGATTGGGTCTTATAATTAGGACCAAATAAAAAGTCAAATTGGGTCTTATAATAAGGACCGGAGGAGTATATATTATGCATGCATAAGATCACAGCCCCGCGTTGCTCATTTTGGTTTTTTTTTTCTTTTTAAAAAAAGGGTCAGTGAGAGGAAGCGCACACATACACATCCGCCAAGTATTATATGTGTATGGAAGAGACTTCTTGTATAAGAAGATATCATCTTTCACCATTAAAGTCATTTGCGAGACTATACAAAAGACTGCAAATTTTGTTATAAATGAGAGAAATCTTTCTTTTCCTATTAAAAGGAAATGATATCCACATTGTTTCTGTTTTTATACCCATCCTATTGATTTAGCCAACTCTTTATCCTCCACTTATTGGTATGTTTATAACATCAAGAATTCTAAAGTTAATATTCAAACTGATCTCTCTCCCCCACTCTCATTTATTTCTCTTTTGGTACAACATGCTTGAAATGTAACATAACGTGACAGTCAACTAATCATTTTTAAAGCCCTTCAGCACTTACAAAAATTATTAAAGTCTCAAACCCATTAATATTAAAGCTATATATATAGTTCAATATTATTATTTGAATTGTTGAAACAATATAAGTTAATGATACGAGCCCATTATTAGCAGGGATATATATATATATATATAACTCACCTTGCCAAAAGTAGCCAAACAGATTATGTCAAGCTGATCTCCATGATACGTATTTCATAGCATGGGTTGGCTTTGAAAAATTTGAAATTGGTTTGCACTTTTATGGACCCGCAGCTATATTTGAAGAGTTAGTCTTTCTGCTACGTAGGGTTAAGAATTGTGCAGAGGGAAACCCTAATTTAAGGCCATTAATTATGATTGGGAATAGCCAATAATGGAACCCTGAAAGATCGACTCTAGGGTTTGGTGTATCCGATGCCTACATACATCAAATCCATGTATATTTTTTTGGTAATTCATTATGGAGAATGGGAAAAAGGTATAGTGTCACAATTCTATAGCTATGATTCAAATTAAGAAATAAACAAGTTAGTACGCATGGTGCACTATTCAAATCCCACAATATATATTTAAAAAGATTCATGATTGAATTTGACATATATAGATATATATAGTTGACAAATAATTTTAGCACTTAATATAAAACTGATCATCCGTGTGTATTCTTATACATTAATCCAAGGATAAAATTTAACTCCAAAAAAGTTTTTAAAATCTTATAAAAAATAAATAATAAATATTTGGACATTTTAGTTAACTTTGTCATTTATTGAATTTCCAACGTACTGAGTATATACAGTGTTGTTTGAGTTGTGTAAAAAACTTGTTTGAAAGAAATTATTAACCTTAGTCTGCTCTTGATCGTGCTTATGTCTAGCAGAAAACCAAATTCAAAGATATTGGAAACCCTAGGAGAGGCAGGGGAATATAATTAATAAAGTTCTAGGGTTTGGTGTGCGTCCATGATAAATGTTTTTTAGTTCTAAGAATACTGAAACCATGGCTTACAGTAAACCCTAAAAAACAAATAGATAGGAGACAGACTTGAGCTTTTTTCTGGTACCTAAGATCTCTATATCATAGCGGCGCAAATCCAAATGAAAATTTTGTTCATCGTGATTATGCGTTATAACCTTAACTTTTCCAAGAAAATTATCTCCGTTTGTTGTAAATACCCGGCTTGATCCAGACAAAATAGCTTGCTCTATTATAATTGAACCCTAAACCTGAAGATAATTTAAAAACATAGCAGATCGGTCAAGTCATTTAAACGATTACATATATAAATATATATAAACTCGTCATACCAAAACCTATTTCACTAGGTAAAAGGTGGGTGTTTGGCAAGAGAAAGAGACCTCCAAGATTTTATATTAAGGCTTGGACCAGAAAAACCTAACCAACGAAGCCACTATATATCTACCTGTCTATATATCGATGGAATCTACAGGATGATCTAATTATAATATTATATTTTATAATAATAAAAGGAACTCAAAGTCTTATCTATGGAGGACTTTGTTGCAGAGTGGAGCATGTTATTCCTGCACCGTTACCAAGAGGAATGTTTTGCGGGACCCGCAGGAAAGGAGGTGAGACACTATACCAAGCTATCTCGAGCATCTGTGTGTGTGTGTGTGTGTGTGGGGCTTTAAATAAAAGAGAGTAAAAAAGAAAAGGGCCATGTGAGGATATACAGTGACTTATAATTTATGCAAACGGAGCAAAATGCGCTTCAATCAGAAAGCCAAACACAGTAATATATTAATGAATGACCATTATGATCCAGCGGGCGAGATCATGGAAACCCACTCACTTTTCAGCCAAAAGTTAACTCTACACCTTCTTATTATTGCTTTTCTTCCGCTTCTCGTTCCATTATTAATTGATTGTGTTTCAAGAGATGGAAATTAAAGAAAAGGCTCTCAGAAAGTGAACGCTGAAGTTAGCCATTAGGGTTTTCTTATTGTCAGCAGTCCCTTACATATATGCAATGGGGTCGTATAGAAAGGAAAAAAGCATACGTAAAAGAAAACTGGAATTTAATTAGTTTCTTTGATGTGTTTGTAAATTGAACTGATCGAGCGGCTGAGATGGCTAGAATTGGGTATTAATAATTACAAAGGCATTATTATTAAGGTACCATTGTTGTTAGATCCTGCCGGGTTTTGGCGGTGAGATGAGATGGGTGCTTTATTAATGGGGTTGGAAGAATCTGAAAGACGAAAGAGGGTACTGACTGATTAAAGATATATAAATCTGACACTTTCTCAACTGTTGTTGGCAAGCAAAGCAAAAGAGAAACGAAAAAGAGAGAAAGAGGGAAAGATATAGTAAGGGAGGGACACCACTTTTGCTGTAAAGGATTTGACAGCCATCATTCCACCTCACCTTTATGTTCCAAAATTAAGTATACACACACACACACACACACACACTAGTTAACTAATTAAATAATTATGATATCAATTTGTAAAACCAAAACCAAGATTAACCATAAATATAATTAAATCCCTTAGTTACAATATACAAAATAAAATGGGCACTAACCTGGGAAATATAGTAATCAAGTAGCCCTACTTAAAAACAACAATATTAAACTGCACACCGACTAAGATCTCTCTCAGCTTATATTTTCTGATCCATGCATCTACGAAAATTCTATCTCTTCAAACCTGATCGATCATGACAATAATTGCAGCAGAATATATATATATATATATATATATATAAATAGTATTCGTGTAGACTGATGTTGACCCATTTTGGTCTGAGGTTGATGAAGCTCATCAGGAAGTAGCTAGCTAGAGTTCTTGTGTAGGGTAAGCCAAGAATCAAACAAGATATTATATATGGGTTAATCTAAAAGGGAATTATAAGGAAGCTTCCATGTGCATCCACATTAATTCTTCAGGGATCAAATTCTTATCAAACCTAGCTAGAGATCATCACCAAAGCCTTCAAGAGAAAGAACAAATTAAAATGGAATGGATCATTGATGAAGAAGAAGAACCAAAGCAGAAAAAAGCCATGTACCCTATTTGTTAGTGGTTTTCTCTGATGATCACTCCAAAACAGTCACTCACCAAATGATGAAGGAGAAGAAAAAAGTAAGCAAAGTCCAAAAGCACCCACCTTCCTTGTTCACCCTTTTTTTTTCTTTTCTTTTTTTTCCTTTTTACACCTTTCCTCCTCCTCTTATCCTTTTCTAATATACCCGGTAAAAGAAATTCTGAAGTACTATACAGTGTTATGCATGTGAAATGATGAGGTCAATGCATCAGATCGTGAAAACCATGATCATTCCATGTACATATACACTGTAGGATACAAAAGAATTCCTGTTTCTCTACCATGCTCCTCCACCTAACATGCCATTCCAAAACCCACTCGGATCTCCATGGCTTCCTCTAGTATTTTGCTGATCAAACTCATGACTAGGGGTGGTGCTTGGCACGTGCTTCAAATCTTCAATAGGAAACAAGATCCTTGCGCCACCAGCAGAATTACCCAATTGCATTCCCTGATGAAGACCACTTCCAAACCCATTATTCTCAAACCCCTCAAAGCTAAAATTAAGCCCTTGATGATGAGGCTTGAACTCCAAAGGAAACCCATGATGGGCTGAATTACTATTACTGTTATACATCATGCCTCCATCTGATGAAACCGACATGGGCATCAAGGAATTCATCAAACCCCTCGAAGAATTTGAGCTGCCGGAAATCTCAGGTTGTGGAGGGAGTGATGGGGGTGTTGGGTATGCCAGGTTAAGATCCTGGGCTTGATGGATCTTGTTGCTGGTGGGGTTCGGAGGAGAAGGTTCTGGAAGCTTCTTTGGTGCTGCTGAAGAAGATGAAGAAGAAGAAGAAGGTCTCTTGTTTTTTCTGGAACCTCCACCCACAGGAACATTCCTGAGAGAGCCACCTTCAGTCCAATACCTTCTGCAAGTCTTACAGAAGTATCTGGGCTGAGAGAGGCTATAGTTGTTGTAGTAGCAGAATTTGGTGTTGGTTGAATTGCACCGTGGACAGTTCAAGGCTTGATCTTTCTGAGGCCTTGCCTTTTTCTCCAACATAGGAGGCTTTGGATTTGAACCTAATTCCATAGGTTTAACCAATCCAATATTCCCCTGAAAAATTAACAAATATAACAAAATTAATTGAGGATTCCATAAAGATAACAAGACAGGATGATGAGGACAACTAGGCCATAATTAAACTGAACACATATGTAATCTTTAAGGTATGAGAATTAAAATAAGATAGCAGAAGGAGGAAGAGGAGGAGGAAGAAACAAACAAAAATAAAGCAAAACAAAGAATTTTGCTGCTAGTGCTTTACACTTTGACGAGGATTATTTACAACAGCATCAGCTATGGCAATACAAACAAATTAATTCCGTTAGCTTTTCCTGGGTCCTTTTTCATCAGATATGGTAGAAGGAGAAGAAAATAAAGGGAAAAAGAAAGGTGCAGTACTTTCAGTAACAGGGAAAAAAATGAGCGAAAGATCTTAAAAAAGACAGCAACAAAAATTGAATTTAGTGGCTGAAACAACATCATCTCATGAAGATTTTGAAAAAAGTTGGGGAAAAGGTAAAACTTCACTCAGAACAACTAGTGATCAAAATAAATCTCAAAACCCAAAGCTTGGGGTATATATTAAAAATATGTTTGAAAATCACAAACCCCAGAAGAAAAATTCATGATTATATGCATGGAAAAAAAACAGAAAAAGGGGGGTCTGTGTACCTGTGCCCACTGAGCTGTGTCCATGGATTAAGAGAGAAAGCGAAAAAAGGAAAAGCAAAGCTATGGAGAGTCTTGAGAGAAAGGAAAAACACCAACTTTTCTAGAGGGATGGTCTTAAAAGCAAGCAAGTGTGTGGAAAGGCTTTGAGGGTTTTGGGATATAGTGGAGGAGTGGCTCCATAATCATGAAGGGAGAGAGGGGCAGAATGGACTTTTCATTAGCCCATGAATTCCTTTCAAACATCACTATATATATATATATATATATATATATATATATATATAATATGGCCACACACATGGGAAATTAGTGTACATGCATGAAGGCTTGCTGATAAAGCATTAACACAAGTCAACAATATTCTTCGTCTTTGTCTTTGAGCGCAATCCCTTGGTGGATTTAGTCGGTTGTTAATTCTTCTCTATTCTATGACCAGAGAAAACAGCTGCGCCTGATATTCGTTTATTCCATTCTTTTCATGAAGTAATGTCCAGATCTCAGAACCCTGATTTCCATTTTTATTATTTCATGTGCGGATTATTTGGTATATCTCTATTTCATTTAAATTTAGATTGGTAGACGTTATTTATATGTTTTTTATTCCATTTAAATTTAGATTGATAGTTTTATTATTTATATGCTTTCTTTCAATCTTTTATTTTCACAACTCTAAACCAATGGTGGTATGATATTTTTTTCCCATCTTTCATATATCATTTGTCATTTGATGATGCACAAAATAACAGAGAGAGGTGGGAAAACAAAAAAAATTAATAGTGTGTGTTGGGGGGGGTGTGGGGAATGAGAGGTTCACAAGTGTAAGAAGCTTCTGAAGGTTTTATTTGTAAAATTGAAAAATAAGAAAGATAAAACAAAAATGAATGCTAATAAAGTATTATACATAATTGAAAAACATTTTTTTAACTATTAAATAAAAATAAAAATATAATATAAACAAATAATGCTGTTTGTGACTTAATTAAGAAGTTAAGTTTATTATAAATTTCATTAAATAGATTGATACATTGATATTGTTATACTACCTCCGTCTTTAATATAAGAGCTAATTAACTAACCTGAAAAGATTAAAAAATTAGTTATGTTAGTTATTTGTAATAAATAGATATTATTTTTCTAAAAATATCCTTACTAATCAAATATATTGATTAGAACTATCATTATTACAAGATTATCTTGAAAAAAATGGATAAATATCAAAGACAAATGGAGTGCAGTCTTATATTTATGATCAAAATATAAGTTAAATAAATCTTATATTAAAGACCGGAAGTAATATATTTTAATTTTTGCATAACAAATACAACTTTTTTCTTATTGTGATAAGCACAAGATATATATTATCCTTTTATAAAATCCATATGATGAAATTGACCCAGGAAAGAACTTGATTAGGTGTGTCTTAATCATTTTTATTTTTGAATCTGCTGTAGATCAGATTGGGGAGAGATTTAGATCTTTATGGAGTGGGGTCTCAATTGAATAAAAAGTAAGAGAAGGAAAAAGAAAAAGAAAAGGAGAGACAGAAAAAGAAGAAGGGTCAGTGTAATCATACTCTTAAGTAAAAAACTATATGATTCAATTAAGAGTCACTGTCATGTTATTATTATGGCTAAGGTACCACACACATACATAAAATATTAAAAAAAATATTAACCACATTATTTATAAACTATAATATTACAGTTCATCTTAATTACATTTCATGCAAATGTACACCGCATTCGCTATAATTACATGTATAGATATATTTATGATGATGTTTTTTTCACCTTCATTATTACGTGTGTGTGGGTGTCACATATATATATAACATTATATGTACCTTTGTGTCTAAAATATCAAGCGCGTATATAATAATTAATTAAACTTTATTTTTCATATAAAATAATTAATTCAACTTTCTTTTTTTATATCAAAATAATTAATTCAACTTTCAGTGTCACAAACAGGCAAAAACTTGAAAGAGCCTATGTATAATAATCAGCTAGGCACGATATGGATGTACTTTGTCATTCTAAAAAAAATATTAAAAAAAATTATTTTTTACCATGAATATAAAAAATTAGTTAAATTAATTATTTTTTTTAGAAATGTATATTAATTTTTCTAAAATATTGTTTAATTTATTTTTCCTTCATCATATGCATGCGTGTGCGCAACAAATTAAACACCATACAAAGTTGGCTTAGTTGCTTTATACTCAAGCCGGATGCCCTTCGAAGGAAATACAAATAAATAATTGCAAACATTGACTCTATGTCGTCGAAATTATTGCCCCAAGAAATTTATGTCTCCGTGTTTTTTTCG